GGGTTCTGTTTATTTGTGTGAGGTAGCATGGCATGGGCTACAAGTCTCCCCATCAGCAGAGAACTGCTCATAGCTCTGTGGCTTTCTGTTTGAAAGTTGCCATGTACAGTGGCTTATGAGTACAAGGAACAGGACTGTGTTAATTAATTTCCCTTTTTATTTTGTTCCTCTTTTCATACTCTTTTTTATGATCTCGTACTTGGTGAAATTTAATCGATTGGCTATCTCCCCTAAGAAGGGTAGGAGAGGGCTTCAGGCTCTGTGAGGTTTGGCTCATGAGCAGCATTTCTAAAGAGTTTCATTTCCTGTCAATGCATGGAATGACTTTAGTCAGAAAAGAAACAGAATAAATTTGAAGAGCAAAGATAACTTTGTGTTTTTAGAGAAAAGAAAAATATCTACGTGATTATCTGCTCTTATTAAGAACTCATGTGTATGTTCAGGGTTCCATTGCTCAGCATAATAGAGATTGTAATTTATTTTTATTTTTTAGATCACAAACGAACTTGAAGTGAGCATTGTAAAATGAAGCTGATCAGTTTTATTTAGGCAGTTGTCCAGTCTTCCTCAGCTGGTGAGAGTAGATGACTTGAAGGCTTAACAGGATATGGTGTTAGGTACCTGTAGTTGGCTGATTTGAATTTGGCCCAGGTTAGTAATGCTTGAAGTCATTACCATCTGTCTGTTGTTCAGTGACCTGTATAAAATTAACTGATATTCTTAGTCTAGTTCTTAGTAGGCAGGTGTCCACATCATGAAAACTGGCACCAGTACCAAGCTTGTTGGCTGTCTCAGCAAAGCTGAACAGGAAAATAAGCAGTCATCTCCTCATTTATGGAGGTATGTTTTTCCCTTTTCAGCACCCAGACATGCTGATGGATGAACATATCCAGAGACTGTGTGCTGCTGCATTTTGTTGTATTTGTCTTTTGGCAGAGAATGTAGCCCCTGTGTTTGGATTCCACATTAATTTATTTAAAATGCTCTACCTAGTTTTTCTGGTTTCCTAATAGAAATCTTATATATAGATGGTGTCCTCATCTGTTCTTTCTGCTAGAATGAAACAAGAGAACATGCTTCATGTGATGGCTTTTTTTTTTTTTTTTTTCACTTCACTTAGAAGATATCAACCTTATTTTGGCAGCAAGAATTTGGAAAGAGAGAGCACCAAATCTTTCACATGTAGTTATATTTAAAAAAAAAAATAAATCTGTAACAAACCATTTTTTCCCCCCCTACAGATGTAGCTGTAGGAACCGATATAATGTAATTTCACATAGTTTATGTATCCTGGGACTGATCTCATAATAGCAGCAATAACTGCACTTAGCATTTAAATGGCACTTTGTATGTTGAAAGCTTTGTACAGGCTTGTTTGCTAATGTTTCTGATTGGTTGTGTGACTCTTGATGGCAAAATCTGCAATATACTGAAAGCCTGTGCGAGATTTGACTGTTTACATACAGTGGGGATCTCTGCAGTGACAGTTGCCTATGGAGACGCGGGGATAATAGAGCCCAAAGTCTTTCACTGGGAGCTGTGCTGCAGTTCAACCCATACATTGGCATAAAAATGCATGGGAGAACTGTCTTATGTTCTTCTTCACAGGGTTAGGGCCTGGCATCACTTCTGCAGCCCACATGTAACGTCTCTATCTAACACTGAACTATTCTGGCTTTTTGCAGGGGATGATTTTAATCCTGCCTGAGCTTCTTTAAAGTATATTATCTTGCAAGCAGTGATTCAGACTTAACTGCTCCCACTGCAGTGTGTAGGACTCTCCTCCTATTTCATTGACATAAAAATACACACCAGTGTGTTATAAATAGTTCTTCAGTATTCCTGAAGATTTATGGTGGCTAGATGCTTTCTGAACATCCATTGAGGGATAAGCCCAAATGGTCATATTTAAAGCTAATTGGCCTTCTTACAACTTTCTGCATTTTATTGCCAGTAATATTGCTAAGGATTCTAATAGGATCTTCTGCTTGCAGAGTCCGAGTTGATTAAGTGGTGCAATACATTCATTTCAGAGGGCTGCTTAAATCACCAGTAAAAGTAGGTTAGGTGACTACAGATCACCTCCTCGTTGACAGGAATTCCCATGATTAATAATAGTTTTTTGAAAAGAGGAGCATGACTCACTATTTGTTCCCCCGCTACTGTTACCAACTGGAGTAGTTTTCTTCTAGAACAAGAAGAATAAGGTGTAGGTTTTGGTATTGCCATAGGTACCCTTGGGTTGGCGTTAAATACTGGGATGTGCTAGAAAATCCAAGATTTGGCCTTAACAATTGTGAACTGACAATGTAGGTGGAAGACATGGAGCATGACAGGGCTGCAATTGGAGGAAAAGCATTAGAGAGATAATCGGCTTCACTGTCCCTTGCTGCTGTCTTCATTCCTACCAAACATTTTACTGTTTAACCAAGGGTTTAGATGCAAAGCAAGGATTTGTACGTCAGCACTAGGTGGATGACTGTCATGATGCCTAAAATATTTCTCTATCCTCATTGATCTGCCATTTTCTAGTGGCCTAAAATGTGACTTTAACATTTGTTTTGTCACTATACGGCCATCGTGCTGGGCAAGCAACTAAAAGTAAAGTTTAATTTCAGCCTTGTTTTGTGGCTTCCTTGTTGTCTCAGAGTTCTTGCTCCCTTCTCTGTCATGGGTCCTACTAGTAGATAAAGGTTTGAGGACACAATAGCAGTTACTAAAGTGAACTCAAGTGTAGTTTTAGTCCTGTGTTGCCACTGTAAGATTTCTAGTAGCATTAAGTCGTAGGCTTGCTCATTTGGAGATTAGCTGCTTGGTCTTCTTTCTGAGAAACTCCAAAAAAATATACTTGCAATGAGCCTCTGAACACTTATTGCCCATGAAGCTGTAATCATATAATAAAACAAAATAAATTAATGCCTGAGGAGAAGCAGCTCATGCCTGTGGGGAAAAATCTGTCCCTTTGCTCAGTTTGATATGATTAAAAAATTACAGTGTTCTGTGAGCTAAAAGAAAGAAGACATCGCAGAGAAAAGTAGTTAAAAGTGTGGGTTTTTTTTTTTTTTCTTTTTCTTTTTTTCTTTTCAGGAATATTCCTGTTTTGTTTCTTAGAACTAACAAATAAAGCAGTTCCTGGAAGGGATTCAGGAACTGAGTGCAATATTCAGTGTTCTCTTATTAGTGAGTAACAGAGACTAATTCCGCATTTTCTTATTAGAGCTATGCGGGAAAAATAACTTTCTTTTCTATAGAACTTTGTTTTTAGAAACTTTTCAAGTTCAGGTGAAATAAATATATATTTAAACCAACTCTAGATAAATTATAGTCTTGTGATTATGGGAGGTCAGATACTATTGGATTTTTTCTATTCCTGCGTACAAGTATGACTGAGCTTTTCTCCCGTATTATTTAATGCTGCAGGTGAATTTCTTCACTTCCAGTATCTTGACAGCTAGTTTGAGTTTTTTCAGTCTCTTGGACCTCTTTTTCTCTCTAGAAATAATTATATTCAGGAAATGTCATTGGGTCACATTGTCAGAAAAAAAAAAAAAAGTGGTCTAACCACTCATGTATTTCCCTGACTAATGAACCCATTGTTATTTGTAGAATGGGGAGCAGCTTCCACTTGAAGTGTTTAGAGAGCAACTCATTGTAAAACAAACAGCATGTTGTGAAAGTGTGTTATCTGGAACTTGAGAGTTTCTTCTTAAAACCTCTTCAACACAGATATGCCAAACTATCCAACTTTCCAGGGACTACTGAGCTACCAACTGTTGTAAGGTGGATTTTCTTCAGATTTTATATTGAAAAAATGTCCTTCTGTGAAACTGTTAACTTCCAGAAAAGTTGGTTTTTTTTGACATTCAGCTGACAAATTCTCAGATGTTCTCTAAACAACTTGCAAACTGTTTAGTGAAATAATTTTACATGGTTTTGTTTTACTTTTTGTTCACAGTTTGACACTTATTCTAGGTGCAAGGTTCCTTGTTTTCCAGTTGCCTATTTCTTTTCCTCCTTTCAAGATATGATTCAAAGCAATTTTTTTTCCTTTCATTTTTTTTTTTCCTTTCTGAGAGGGACATATTCTTCTGCTTCTAACCATTTTAGGTCTTTCCTCCTTTTACTTTTAGATTTCAAATACTGTGGTAAAGCCTGAATTAACAGACTCAAGCCATTTGTCCTCTTTAGAAATTTGAGTTGCAGAGGTTTAGAAACTGTGGTTGGGAATCTGTAGATCATACTTTTTGTTTCTTCAGATAGATACTGTATGGTAAGACTATCAGTAGATTATTATTAATAATTTATGAAGTGAGTTAATTACCTAAATTAAACCATTAGCTACTACTTTGATCACAGAATCATCATAATAATTGGTAATGATTGTTATCTTTCTAGCCTTTTACATTTGGAACAGACCTAAGACCTCTGCTCAGTGCACTGCTTTTAACTGTTCGAAGTATCACTTAGTTCTTTCAAGATAGGCTCTGTAGTAGCATGTGGACCTAGGTTCAGACCCTCAAAAATCCTTAGATATCCAACTTCTATTTTGATTGTTAGTGTTAAAGCACTTAAGTACATGGATGGAGTTCTTGATGCCATGGTACTAAGTTGCAGTGTATGGCATGTTAATAACTGTAGTCTGGTTGTCACCAGTAGGACCAAATGTTAGTAATAAATGCCTTGGAGAATGTGGATTTCCTGAATTCAGGGCTTGTTGTTAATTAGCATGGTGTTTTCAGTGAGCCTTTTAATTTTTTGGCATGTTTTCCTGTCCATTGAGTCAACGTTTGTTTTCTGAATGGAGATTTGTATGGAAATGCTGCTTTTGATTTACTTATGTGGTAAAGGTAATCGAACAGTGCTTGTTATTAGAGACTTATCTCAAATGACCTGTGCTTCCATTTTGCTCTTAAAGTGATAACCGTTCACACACCAGGATCATTTATGAGAATTGTTGACCTGCAAAATTAAAATTTTCTTGCTCACTTTTCATACATTAGGTCCTGTTACTGAAGTCAAAACAGATATATATGTCACCAGTTTTGGACCTGTTTCTGATGTAGAAATGGTACGTATTTCTGGGATTAAAATGTGATTTCCTGATTCTGAGAAACCATTAAATGCAGTAAGGAGTGAATGTTTCATCTATACTGTTCTGTCAATCATGCAAAGTAGGCAAGATTAGTAACAGCTTAATTTACAGGTTATAATTAGATACATCAGGCCTGATTCTGGTCACACTTTCGCTGTTTTTTGGCTGGCTTAAGGATTTACTTCATAGGGTTTAAAACAGACTTTCATGGTGTAGAGGCAGAATCAGGCCTTGTGGGGTGTGTCTAACTCAGTCTACTGTGGGGAAAATGTGTAATATCTTTGAAATTGCTTTTCCTTTCTGAAACTTGTGTTATTCTCAGGTGAATAATAATGACATCATTTCACAGTACTTGATGTTTTCATTTCAGATGAATGTCCTTTGCTGATCTTTGTGCCCCTTTTAGCATCACTTTTAGCAAATGTTTGACTGATAAGTGTTTTCATAAGTGTCTGCAGAAATTGAATGTCAAAGTGACATGCATGAAATAGTCACAGAAGAGAAATGTTACATTTGCACTTGCTGTTATTTGTGCCTGAATGGCATTTGCATTCATTTAAGGTCAAATCCAGCAAAATTCTCATCAACTTCTATAACCCAGTGGTATTTATTTAAATGACACAATAGTTTCTCTTTTTACAAAAGATCCAAGAAACCTCATCGAAGTAACACAGCCATGTGTGTTGAACTGAAATACTTTAAGGGAAAGGTGTTTTTGGGGCAGTAAGTTTATTTTCCCATATAGTACTGTCATGCACTTTGTGGTGCACCTGATTTGGCTCTATCATGTAGAAATATATGTGATAGCAAGGTATTTTTTCAAGGGTTGCAGTCATGACATCAGTCTCATGTTGAAAAGCATCTTACCCCTTCAGTGGTTGTCATGTACACAGTGATGCTGTTCATTGTGACAAGAAGTGCAAGAAACTGGTCCCAAGGAATTCTAGTAATGTGTGCCTCCAGTCTAAAATAAAGATTAAAGCATCTGATATGGGAAATCATTACTTATATTGGAGAAGGCAGGAGGGAGAACATAGACTGAAGGTAGGTAAAGAACTGGCAAAAGGAGCACCTCCAGCAGATGTTTCCCCTTTCATCATTATGGATTAGTAAGGAGGCTATTCAGGGATCCAGGACTTGTTTTTTGCACTAATTTTCAGTTAATGTATCCATTAGTGATCCAATGTAATCTGAATGTGGCTGCTCTCACAAAACTTGCTGAGACAGCAAAGTGTGATATCGTGTCAGTACAGGGGATGATCAGAATGTCTTTTCAGGGCTTGGGTTACTTTGGTACCCAGTATAATGAAAATGGTTGAAATCTTACAAAAGCCTGTCATGTGGAAGCTAATAACAGAAACAGCAATGAAGTCACTAGTGAAAAATGACAATTAGAAAAGAGACTTTTCATAGATTAACTATAAGCTACAGTGGAGGACGCAGCCATGGAAAAGAAGATAGGTATAATTCTAAGTTGCATTACATTAGTAGACATGCCTCCTTGCCAACATGAATAGACACGGCTACAATGGTTACACTGCAGAAGAGTTTGAAAGTCACAAAACTTTGTTTGCTTTAAGAACAAAATCATGACTGTAAGTTAGACAGGACTTTGTGTTACCTTTTTTAATTGCCAGCATGACTTTTTCTTTGCAAAGTGCTTTAGCTTCACAAGATGAGAAAGGCATTCCTTTGTCCATTCATTCACATAGGATTTATCATGATGTGCCTGTGTCTGTAGTTCTGCAGTTGTTTGCATGTTTGTTTTTTTTTTTTTTTTTTAAGCATCTGAATGGTTTTTCTGAAAGTTAGTGGAATAGTTACACAGTTAAAAAAGAAATGTGTGCATATGCAAGTCTACATATAATTTATCCTTGTTTTGTGGGCAAAGCAAAGGAAATACTTAGCTTTCGTAAGATAAAAGGTTACTTTTCATGACTTGGAATAAAATCTTATTTCATAACTTTAAACTGGAAGTAATAATTTGTTCTGATATTTTAAATTTAGCCAGCAGCAGAAAATCCATGGGTATCTTTTCTTTAAAAATCTGTTGACACTTACTTCAGAGATCATTTTTTTTTTCCAGTTACATGCTTTACTACAAATTCAGCTGCCTGCTTCCTGCAAGCTAATTAGATTAATTTTTCCTTAATGATTAAATATGTGTGGCAATTTATTGATATGACTAATGAGAGAAATTAAGCTATTAAGAAGTACACAACACAGTTTAATTGGTGGAAATATGTTTGTGTAGTGGACTTAGCATTTTCTTTACCAATGATTTCTTTGTTCCTGAGGGATTTCTTTTTTTACAGGAAACACACATGCAAATGTGGTCTTTGTTTTTTTCTACAATTTAATACAGGAATATACAATGGATGTTTTCTTCCGTCAGACATGGGTAGACAAAAGACTAAAATATGATGGCCCTATTGAAATTTTAAGACTTAACAACTTGATGGTTTCGAAGGTGTGGACTCCTGACACTTTCTTCAGGAATGGGAAAAAGTCTGTTGCACATAATATGACAGCCCCAAATAAGCTCTTCAGAATAATGAGAAATGGCACCATCCTGTACACAATGAGGTACTTAACGTCTTTGTTTGACTTCTTGCAATTGCTGTATGCAAAAGTTATACTACCTAGACAAAATGGCAACCAGCGACTATTTAATTTGTTCCATTATAGGCTTACAATAAGTGCAGAGTGTCCCATGAGATTAGTGGATTTTCCCATGGACGGTCATGCTTGTCCTCTCAAATTTGGGAGTTGTAAGTTGCAATTATGAAATTTCTTGTGACTTCAGAATTTAAGTAGTAGAAGTAGATTTTGAGCAGTTACTGGACTTTCTGAATATTAGTCTTGATACACAATTCTTATGCAGACAAAACTCCTGTTAAGTACCTTGGGAATTTTATTTACACTCTCAAAAATTAAACTCAGGCAGAGAATTAAAAAGCAGGCAGTAATTCAGCTACTACATTAAACCCCACTATTCTGGCCTCATAGTTCCTTGAAATAGGTAGTTTTTCTTAGTCCTTAGGGAGGAATTGGATACTCAATGAAGTGAGAGATTCTGTGGAGAAGACAAACAGGGGGGGATCCATCTTGGCTTACAACAGCCAGGTAAAAGGCACCTAGGTAAGCAGGCTATATGAGTTTCTCTACCGTTAGTGGAGGCAAATTGACATCCAAATATAGATGTAGTTTACGTGCAGAGATTTGATCTTTACTTGTATTTGTCTATTTCCTGGCCTACAATGGGAGTCTGCATGGCTAGCTTAGACTAGATAAATAATTCTTAGGCTGGTAAGAGGAATCGTAGTGTTGGTGACTTTCCTTTTCTGCTTTGAAGTCAGACATAGATTTTTGGATCATCTCCAAACTTTGGCTAGAAGGAACATTTTGGGACTTACATGCATAACAACTGAGGCAGGTAGTTATGATTCCCTGATTTGAATCTGCAGCAGAGACCTCTGAGACCTCCTGGAGATAGCTGATACACTCCATTAACTTCCTTGCCGTTCTTCTAAGCCTTCTCGGTCACTGACTTCGCTGCTGTACACTCTAATGTAGTCAGTGGCTGGACACTAGTCAGCTCTGGACCCCAGAACTCTGAACTTAGAAATGATTAAATGTTCTTCATAATCTTTCCTTAGCATAAATTTAGCTTATACAGCTGAGTTGTCAACCAAAAAGGGGATATTAGAGACACTGCTCTGGTAAGGTTTTTCATCCCTATTATGGTGAGACTGGAGACCGTGTGGCCCCAGATTTAGCTTTGGTATCAGCTGTATGATAGTGGAGATTCAATAGTGGGGGCTCATCCACAGGCATATTTCTTCAGGCAAAATCACCGGCCAGCAGAAATTGCATTTAACGCTAATCTGATATTTTCCTCAGTAAAACTTGAAATAAGATGTAGCCATTTCAAATGTAAGACTGATTTAATTTATTTTTAACAGGAGTTTGGGCTGCATAGGGATTGAATTCTAGCCCTAATTTATGTCTTTTATATAAATGAGAAATGTTTATTTGGGTGTGCTTTTTTTTGGGGGGTATTTTTTTCTGACCTCTGGTTTCTGGCTTTTATTATAGTGTAGTTTTTAGTGTAATATTTCTTTTCTGTAAATAAATGTGCACCTACTCTCTAAGATGTATCCTCCGTATAAAAGCTCTCTTTTATATATTAGTATGTTTTAATGATAAGATTTTAGATAGAGATTTCTAATAATAATTTTTAATAAAGAGAAACTTTCTATGCTCAGTAATTTCCAGAAAGAACTTGTGTTTAGACTTCACATTCAAATGTGAAGTGAATTTGTATGTGACATATGATCTTAGTTGCTATTTATTCTCATCCAAGGGTGGCTTTTAGGGGTAAATTAACATGAAAGGTATCTTCTAAAGCTTTTAGTGTGAGTTTTGACATTCAGTTTCAGTAGGTTTGAATTGGATTCTTAGTAAGATGCAAGAAGTTTCCTATTTATGCAAACTGATGCTGTGTTGTAGATGCTTATCCAAAGAGTGAAATGATTTATACCTGGACAAAAGGACCTGAGAAGTCTGTGGAAGTTCCTGAGGAGTCTTCCAGTTTAGTTCAGTATGACCTGCTTGGGCATACGGTATCCACTGAAACCATTAAATCTATTACAGGTAGGAATCTCATCAGTAAAAGTCAATTTCAGGTAAAACTAACCATGTAATGTTGCCTGAGGCTTTTTTCCTGCCTTCCTGTAAGGTATTCTACCAAAAGTGATAGGGCATATATTAAGGGCTGACAGTATAAATCTGAATTCGCTTTCTGTTCTTCAGATTTACACTTGTAGATTCATTACAGTAGATTGCAATGGTCTTTCAGAAAGCTAGAATGAGATCATTACTCTGAGGGGCAAGACGAGCATTTAATCACTGCTTAAAATGCAGTTTGAAGAGTCAAGAGGACGCCTGCATGAGGAAGTAATTTCTCAGCACTGCATCCACATGATGTGCAGAAGACTTCCTTTGTTTGGCAGTGCAAACAGCTCGGGATAGAAGCACAGCATACAGAATGGGTTATTAAAGCCATAAAAACCCTCTAGTCAGATAAGGGTAGGCACAAATGCATTAGTCACAATAGATACTTCTGCTGATTTGTGCTGTAAGAAATAAGGCAAACGGCAACTACAGGCATCTGAAATGAGTGAAGTATCACTGATGAGCAGTGTGATGACAAACAGGCATATTCCCAAAATATTTTTAAAATTTGGAATAATTTTCTAAGCATCAGCGAGTTTGGGTGTTGTGAGATGGTCAAAGTGAGACAGATAAAGCAAATTATTTGTGTTGCTCTGTGGATATTTTTCTCTGATAAAACAGCATTTTGCAGTACACTGGAAATGTACTTCTCAGCATATTATTATGAGTTTACAGTAGAGTTTTCTTACTGTCCCCAAAGTACTTATTCTATAGTACTTTATTTAGTTTATTCATTTTGTGGTAAAACTGCTTTTTAAAAAATTTAATATTAATTATAATATTTTAGATAAACTTATAGTATTTTTAATTCTTGTCAATTATTTTTGAATTGTTTCATTATCACAGGGGTGCTAACATATAAACCTGGTAAAAAGCTGAGGCTTCCATAACATTTAATGTGCATCATTGTTGCTATTGTTTTATTTGGCAGGCAGGTACCACAATGCTGTGGATTCTATGCTAGACAGATAGCTTGTGTCTTGGGACTCCTTTCTTCAACAGTTACCAAAAGAATTTTTAAAATCATGTTTATACTGTAAAATGTAATCCAGTATTAGCTGTACATTTGTAGTATTTTTGATATCGGCTTCTAAATGGCACTGTGAGGACCTTCAACTTCAAGGATTTTTTGTTTAAAACTTTAATTCATTCTTGTCTCTAAGGAACATATCTTTCTATACATGGTAAGTGGTATGAATAGCATAGCCTTAAACAATTCTAGCTGATAGTCTGAAACAGTTATTCTGCAATACTGATTTTACACAGTCATAAAAAAATCTTTATTTTCTTTTTTAGGTGAATATATTGTTATGACAGTTTACTTCCACCTCAGACGGAAAATGGGTTATTTTATGATTCAGACCTATATCCCATGCATTATGACTGTGATCCTTTCTCAAGTTTCTTTTTGGATAAACAAGGAATCTGTTCCAGCTAGAACTGTATTTGGTAATTATTTTTCACTTTTTCTCATATTACTAGTTTTCATGACTTTCACTAGAATAGATATTTTTACTACACTGCCTCCATACTCGTGCAGAAACAAGGGAATAATGTAATTTTAGAGGAATTTTTGCTATTAACTTATGAAGAATGTTGTTATGTGAACCCTTGGAATCTGAAGGGAAACTTGGAACGTATAATCTGAAGGATGTTATGGTTGCATGTGGGAAATGGGTGTACAGTTTTCGGGAGTCTACTTGCTTGGAGGACCAAACTGGGAAGACCTGGCCCTGAGTAATACAGTCAAGTCCTTAGTCTACATCCAGAGCAGTTTTATTCTCCAGTGGACAATATTGTAATTAGTTGTACTGACTTTTAATTTGATTGAGGGTGTGCAGGATGTACAGATGTCTTATTATGAGATATCTATGTCATCAGTGGAAGCTTGCTATAATGCTTAGATCCTCTTACTGAAATTTCATGTTTAGTGCTCGTCTCTCCTTTCTGCCATTGCCATTATGGAAATGAATTCAAAAAGCAAGATGATTGCAAGATATTAAAATTGCCTTCATCAAAATAGAGCTTGAGTGAGATGTTACAGTGACCTCTGAAAATAAAATAAAAAAAAAAAAAACCACAAAAAATTCTATAGAAGACAAAGCATAAGAAATTAAATGGAAATATGATTCCTAACGAAGAAGTAGGATAAAAACATTTTTAAAAGCAGTCTTTACAGTGCCCTGTCTTGACTTTGTAATGTACTGTAGTCTAAACCAGGACTAATCAGGAAGAGAATGTTCTACAAAAAGCCTTTTTATAGATAGATGCTGGCAAGAGTGACAGGAATTAATGTTTCTATGTGACGGCCCTTTCAAATGTGTAAGTGGAGTCAGAACACTGTTTAGTATCACAAATTAGACAAAGTTAATGATTGTTATAGGAGAAACAACCTGTAACCTAGTAAGAACCCCACTAGCTCTGAAGCATTACATTAGGCAAACTAGTATATCATTTCACATGCCTTTGTGGTGATATTAAATAATGGTACTTTTTTTCTGAAGAGAATCTTCTCATGAATGGGAAAGGTAGTGTCTGTATTTACAGACAAAATGTGATAATTGAAAATGTACAAATTACAGAGCAATTACAGAGATGTAATACATTTCATTGTATCCACATGTGAAACTGAAAACAAATAAAAATAATAAAGTATGGACATTCTCTAAATTACAGATCAGTCTCTAAAATGTATTTGAAAGCAAATGGCTTAAAGTATAGCTAAAACTATCTTTTCAGTTTTCTGACAAATTCCAATAAAGACCCTGTTTTCTAAAGGTTTTCTTAAGACAGAAATGTTGAAGGCAAAAAATAGGAATGGAGCTAGAATACCTGCTATTGTACCAGCTTTCTAGAGGAACTTTTAGAAGAGGCTAACCAAAAGATCTTTCCGTTGGGCATCACGTGATTAGGGAGAACTTGGCAAAGGTAACACAGGAAGGCTACACAAGGAACTAAGGAATATCACGTCATGATTTCTGCAGTCAGAGCTTCAGACACCCAAATCTGGTGATTGTGAGATATCAGTGTTTCTCAAAAAAAAGAGAGCAGTAATTTTAAAAGATGTTTTTAACATTAATTTTTATATTAAAATACTCTATTATATTTTGATATGGTTATGTGCATTTCTAATCAGAAGCTTGCAAGTATGTATCTCTGGATAATTACAGTTAATGTGTATATAGAATATTTATTACCAGAACTTCATTCCCTACCCTGTAAATTCCAATAGCACATATCCAAAGGAAGTTGCAGTGGCAGCTACAAGTCTCCCAGAAGAATGATTTAATATGGGGAAATCTGATAAAGACTGCAGTACTCAACTGAACATTATCACAGCCTCTCTTCCTTGTATTTGGGGAATGGTTGGTCATTCAAGTCACTTCACCCTATTCTTACATCTATTAAACAAATGTCTTCAGAGAGACAAGTCAAGGAAACTATTTGCTTGAAGTGGATAAAGGTAGAAACAGGATGATAGGGCTAAGAAGGGATGAGTCTTTTCTAGGAAAAAAATAACTTCCCATAATTTTTTTTTTTCCTCAGACTTAAACATTTTCAGTAATGTGTTTTTTCAACACCTTCCTACTGAAGAAGGTTTCGTGAGCTTGCATCTGTGTTTTTATCCTGCTGAGTTTTCTCTGAGATATTCTTTGTGGTTTTGTGAACTGGCTATTACTTTTTTTTTCTTTAATAGGAAGGACTGGTTTTAATGTGTCAAGTTCTCTGGTGGAATACCACCATTTAGGGAATAGGGGTTATGGAAAACATGCTTTTAATTATTTTTAATTCTGAGCATATGCATTTCGTCTTGCATTAAAATGGGTACAGTGTTATTTTCATAAGAGTAGAGGTATCTCCATTTGTAGGCAGTCTTCCTTGAGGTTATCATGGTAGGACTTGTGCAATGTTCGCTATGCATTTGGTATTTTACATTTGTATGACATGGGATATTTTGGATGAAAAAGGAAAAAAAAGCCCCTATACCTTGGTTTTATACAGCATGTATTTGCTTTTGAAGTATTATTATGAAGTGGTCATATTTTGCGTTCATTGTTCATGCTTGTACACTTTAATTAAAAAGCTGTTTTTTCAGAAGATGAAATTCTAATTAAATTTTACCGGTTCACTAGTAGCAGAAGGGTTTTAAAGATAAGGTGATGATTTCTTAATTAACAAAGTTGTTAACATAATATTCTAGTTTTCCTTAGCACCAAAATAATTTTCCATGACTTAATGGCACATGGATTATAAACTGGATCAGGGGAACAGACACAGGCTAATAGATGGCATTCTGAACCCATTAAAGGAAAAATCATAGTTTTGTTGCAGTCTGAGGAGCATTTCCCTATTTAACAACTTAAATTATGTTCAAATGTTTAGAAAATAACTTGTAAGAAATTCTAATGAACTTGACATAAAAAAATATGAGATGATGGATTCTGCATTTTCTTCATGTGAACAGTAGATGGTCTGTTGAAGTCATGGCGTTCCATGCTGCCTTTAAAGACTGGTTAATTGTTTTGTGTGCATAGCTGCTCATAGATATACAATAGTTGCCACAACTTAAATCTCAAAAGGCTCTTAAGTGATTGAAAATTCTTTGTTTGAAGCTGCTTGCCTATTCTCACTTTGTTTTACTCAGATTGAGCAGTATTTTTTTTTTTTTTTTAAGGAATAACCACAGTGTTGACAATGACGACACTGAGCATCAGTGCAAGGCATTCACTGCCAAAAGTATCCTATGCTACTGCCATGGACTGGTTCATAGCGGTCTGCTTTGCCTTTGTGTTCTCTGCTCTTATTGAGTTTGCTGCTGTCAACTATTTCACAAATATTCAAATGGAAAAAGCCAAAAGGAAGACAGTAAAATCCCTTCTTGAATTTCCTGTTGCTCCAGTACAAAGAGAAAGAAGTACAGAAGAGACATTCATGGTATGTTTTCAGCTTTACAAATATTTTGTGTCTCTTTGGTAGTGTGTCTTAGCAAAAACAGGCCTTTAACTTCCTCTGAGGTTCCCTCTGAGCTAACGATGCAATGTAAGTGAGCCTATTGGAATGCTAATGCCAACATTATATTAAATGAAAAAAAAAAAAAAGCACAATTTAATTCTTATTTGCCTTATTGCATTAACTAGGGGAGGAGATTGTGTCCATCCATACCTGCAGTCTCTTCCATATTTAGTTGTGTTTTGGTGAAGGTCAGCTAGGTGGGTGTCTTTAGGAAACTTTCTTTCCCTTTGCACATTGATTCTAATTGGCCTGATTATACAGACCAAGGTATTATAGATAAGGGCAGCATGTTATCTTATGTGGCTAATGTCTTTAATGAATTGAAATAAGATAAGGCATTGCAGTTGTACATTGGAGCGCTTCCCTAGACATCACAGTTCTCCTTTCATTGCATGTATTTTCTATCTAGATTTTTGTTTCTTCATCAGTTATAATTTCAGGAATTTTTGAAGAATGCTGGATGAAACCTTTGCATTCCCCATAGATTTCATTTTCATGTAAATTGCATGTCTTTGCTGAGGAGTTCACCTCAACTTCTGAAAAGGTTTTGAGGCTCTGTTTAACAAAATGCATTCCAGCTTTCATAGTGCTTTGGATTGAGCGTCACTTGTGTGGTAGCTTTTTCAGTGTGCAGACCAGTTAATATATTTATATTCAATCTCATTTCCAGCTGAATGCAGCAGTGGTTCTCCTTTCCTCGGTTTCCCATTCCCATATGCTTACCCTCTGCTTCATCCCTCCTGTATACAGCACACCTAGCTAACAAAGTCGTTACAGCACTTGCACGGGCCATGCTATAGGCCAGTAATTCCAAGCCATGACTGATTCTTGGCAACACCACTCAAGAAGTAAGACTGTCAGCAGCATTGTAATTTACTCTTCCTGTCAGACTGACTTTGTAATTTCCTTTGCCTGAGCCATGATTTAAGAACCACTGTTTTAGACTAACTCTTGGTAATTTTGTCTTCAGTCTCTTTTCACATCTCATTTGTCTCCTTCCCTATTCATCTGCTCTTTTTTGCCTTCCCACCCCTTCCATTTGCTATCACTGCTCAGCTGCTGTCCACCCACTTCCATTTTTCTTCCTCTTCTTTGCTCTCCTACCGTATTTTTTTTTGCTGTTTTCAATCTCCTGGCTGTGTTCTGTTAGCTCCCGTTTCTGCTTAAAAGAATAGATATGTTCCTGAGGAGTTTGTTAGTCATCACTCTGTTGGCTGCTAGTAAGAGACAGGAACAAAAAAAAGTATGTTTACAGTAGCGTGTAGTTCACCCTGTGCATAGAGGTTTTAGAGCCATTAGTTTATGCTAAACTTCTTGATCATAGAGCAGGTCGTGCTTAGCCGTTTTACACATAGCATTGGAGAAATTTCCCTTTCTTTCCCTCCTCCCCCCTTTTTTTAACAACAGAACACACAGCTTCACCCAACTCAAAAGCTAAGTAAAATGAGATGTAAACAGTTCTATTCCACTGCTTAATTAATACCTCTGATAAATGTGGTAGTGTGCTTGCAGGTTTGAGTATTTGGAAAGCACTCAAGGCAGCAATCTACTTTTTTGAAGGGTTACACATTAATGAGTATATAATTGAGAGGCAATGTTGATGGTACCTTGAATTTATTTATTTATTTTTTAATGGCTCTTTCTCCAGTTATGCTTATGCTGAGACTTGAGATTTTATTCTTCCAGGACAAGCATACAGGGTGAACCTACAGGTACTGCTATAAGCATTGTGCTGTCCTTTCCATGACTAGAAGATGACTCCTGTTCTGGTCTCTTGCTGTGCAGAACAGAAGCTAATATTGCTGTTCTAATTTGTTAGAAGCTAATATGGCTGTTAGGCTCTGCTTTCCAACCTGACATGTAACATAGCCCTCTCCTTAAGAATTTTAGTTTTGCTTATAAACGACTAATCTAGAATTTTCTTGAATCAGATTCATAATAAGGCTTCTCCCCTCCTCCTCTGCCCTCCCCCCGCACATATACTGTCTAATCAATGCTGATTTACCAGACTTAACATAAGCTCAGCTCAGATGAAGGAAGCTGAAGGAAGCTCAGCTTCCCTGTGAGTTTATGGTGCACAAAGAATGCAGGACAATAGCTTAACTGTAGCATGTAATCTGTAAGCATTGTTTCTTAACATAAAGACTACTAAGTTTTATCTCCATAGCTAAATGATAGGATTTGATTTCTTAACACAGTTAGTGTTTTGAAAAGTCTGTACCACATTACCACTATTGTGCTAAAAATTCTGGTTTTAGCAGTACAATTGCCAGAACTCAAAGAAATGTTTTATTTTAAGCTTGAAAGCTTTTTCAAACAGACTTTGCCTAGTCTGGTAAATTTGCCAATCTTACAAAATAAAAAGTTTTCACTTAGCCCACGGAGGTACTACTGTTACTGGTCTACTAATTGGAGGAGGAGATCGCTCTTTTATGCCTGTTAGCCCAGTACTTTTCGTATTTAGTACAGTATGCCCGGTACATACAGGTGGCTGCACTGGCTTTTCACAGCTGAGGTCCTATCTGTACAGATTCCCAGAAAACAAGAAAAATACAGAGCAATTGAGGCTGTTAAAGAAAATAAACAAGCTGATATTATACTTTTAAATGAGAGTTTCATTTTATGGACTGTTGATTCTGCATTATTCACTGGATGGTTATATGATTTTTTTTTTTTCTTTTCCCCAGTAATGGGGTGGAATCGTCCTAGACGTGTTCTAGAAACTGCATACCCTATAAAACATGGAGATTTTACTTTCTGATAGTCCTAGAAATCAGGCATATTAATAATAAAATTTCACAAAATAAATTGCACATAAGTGGAAGTCCTTTTCTGACATGTATGTCCAATTTCTGACCATAAAATTGAAGTGGTCTTGCTTTATTTGATCCGTTTGTATGTTATTCTAATTAGAATTCTTGGTAGTGAGTTGTTTTGTTCTTTTCATTTAAAAACACTTTTCCAGCTGTCTTGGATCAAAGACAACTCCTATCATTATGATCAAATTATTTGGGATGTGTTCATTCATATTGTGAATTTCTTCAGCACCACAAACTGCATTTTTACTGTAGCAAACGTAGACTATATGCTTTTCTAAATTATTGTTGTGCGATTGTATTTCTTTTTTGGGGCCCCATGATGGGTATGACTGATCAATATGTTGATTACAATAAGTATTAAATAATTCTGGAAGCAAGCTAAGTAATCTGAACTGTGCTAATTCCAACAAAAAATCCTGGTGTCAGGATTTACTAATTTGCTAATTTACTGGGCCAGGAGTGGCAGGAGTGAGCCTGTAGTGCCTGCAGATGCGATGTGTGCTCCTCTATCACTTGCTTTGGTTTTAGCCATGGTATTTTATAACCTCTTTTTACCATCCTCTCCCTCCCTGCCCCATTCCAACTCTTTCTTTCTTGTGGCTTGTAGCTTTCTTTTTACAAACTTAATGTGTTTCCATAAGAAGGAGTGCAGTTCTGCCGTAGACATCCCATGATCAGGACCCATGCTTGTTTGAGATCTGCTCTGAATTCACAAGGGACTTGGACAGCCTCACTCATCTCTTGTCAGGCACAGTGAGATAGTACTGGGGTCTGTCTAAGCCAAGAGAGATGGCTTACACCATGGTCTGCTGTTATTTTCTTGTCTTGGGAGCAAGTTAAAATACTTTCAGGTTAGAAGGAAACTGTCCCTAAATATTCTGAACTCCTTTCTTTAGTAAATGCAGAAATGTTGTTGCCAGTCAGTGTGTGATGGAAATGAATGATTTATATTTTGTTATTGGACTCCTGAGTCTATTTTTATGCTTCTGCACTATTTCCATTTAGCTGTATTCCTATGAAGTTTATTTTTAAAAACCTACCCAATTTTGGAGATGAAGAATGCTACTGAAAAATAGTCTTCAAAAAATAGGCTCCTAAACACTGTTAACATGAGCTTCAACCTCATCTGTTAGTTAAAAGAGTGTGAAACTTGGAAAAAAAAAAAAACAGGTCAGACTCAAATGAACCTTCTGAATGGAATAATTTCTTCAAACTCAGTCACAAGCAGATTGTAGCTCTCAAACTTTCTTCCTCTTTTTTGAAGACAGTTAAGTACCTTGTTCTCTTGGGTAAGCCTCCTAACATCTAATAGAGGACCACAGGGCTGTGAGAAGTACTCAGATCCTAGTGAAGGACTTCAGGCTCAAGAAATGAATAGAGTTCATGCAAATATTAGTGCCTTAAGGACCATACAAAGGGAGGCCGCTGCGCCACATGAATAATTTCTTTGACATATCAACAATTTTCTGTTGCCCTAGTTTAATTAGTCAAGATTTTTGTTGTTGATGATTTACAATCATAATATGCTAGTATCATCTTTAGGTAGGATCAGAGTGTATGCAGGTCATAAACAACTGGCAAATTTCGTACTGAACACTCTTTGAAAGGTGTGAGAGAGTGACAATGTGGGGTAAGGTTGCAGTGACGGTGAGAACTTTGGGTGTTTGGTTACCTGAAGATAGAATAGATCCAAAATGTTTCTTGAAATATTTTATTAGCTGTGATGCTCAAGTATAATGTTTTGTGGGATTTCCCCTCCCCCCCCTTTTTTTTTATTTTTGTTTAATGTTTTCTTTGTTTGGTTTGGCTTTGTTTTTTACTTGGTTTGCTAGACTTAAACAGTCCTACCTAGCAACTGTCTCTACTTACAATATATAAAGCTAAATATGTGCTCAAACAGTATGATTTGGGCATAAATGTGGGGTGTACAATTTAAAATGGTTTTCTTAATATTTCACATAGGATGTCTTTCTAAATAGCACAAATTAAAGTGTTATATTAAAAAATTTGGTCTCTTTCCAAGAACCTGATATTGCTCTACCTTTAACTTGGTTGAATTGTGGAATAATTTTACAATGGAAGTAGAAACATTTGTCTACTGCA